GAGTTTTTGACGTCTCAGGTAAGCCCATATTTTGTGTACTGCTACTTGATTCACGAAAAACATGTCCAAACATCTCGTAACGCTTGACTTCCGTCCAAAAAATACAGCAAAGACAGCCGGTCGCTGATTGCTTTGCATGAAACCAATGCCCACGATCCGCGGGATTTACCTTTCTTTTTAAGCTCTTCAATGTAATGCGCTGGAGCACTTGTTTGTATTGATTGTACACTGCTTGCGTGGCTCATTCTCATTTGCTCTCTGAAAGGTCCCTGGTTTCATCCCGGCCTCGGAGGCAGCATTTTGATGGAAGTGAAATGCTTAAGACCCCCATAGTTTGGTGCTAAAGTACACGACACGCATGCTCAAGAACATCAGATGCTCAAAAATTTTTTAATCATATTCTACAACCTTCCTCATAATTATATCGTGGTTTTCATGCATAAAAGCTCAAATAATAGCATATTGCGTTAGCGCATTAACTTTATCTCATTTATACACTTGGTAGTGCTGCTAATAGTACGTTTAGTAGCATTGCGAGTTGTAATAATGTTTCGTCACCAATAGTGACAATCCCTGCAAGGCGCACTGCGTTCGTGGCACTCATTGATGTCGCTCCTGACAGCATTCGGTTATAATAAATACGCGACCACTAAGCGCTCTTATTTAACAACGAATACAGAAAACTTAAACTGGGCAGTGTGGTAATGTTCTATAACTATGTCGAAAGCTGCCTCAGAAGGAAAGTGCCGATTAAACATTTGCATGCGTAAATGTTACACAAGACGCAGTCATAAGTTACAGTGCCGGCATTCTATAAAAGCCTGATTGAAAGGCAAAAATCTCTATGAAAGTTACACATATGAGTGGCACTGACCACCGAAACGAGTCTAACAATTTTTTTGTATACTTCAATATGGAAGATAAGCTTTGAGAATGCCAGTTCTGACAGACACCTCCTAGGCTTGCGTTTGCGAAATATGTGACATCATCAAAGCCATGCTTACATATCATCTCTGCATGCGAAAGCTGCTTACGTATGCTCATCTATAAATGTATAGTCCTGGTTAACTTCAATATTCCGTCCGAAGGCTTATTAAAGATCCAATGAATATTTTTAAACGTTCCCACAACTAGTTACAACAATGCACAATTAAGGAACGAAATTCACTCACAGATTGTAGCTAACTGGGTAGATTCGCGTCAGAAAAAAGGATTACGTACCATCAACGCAGATTATGATAATAAAAAAGATAAAGGCGCTGCATCGTTTAGCCATTGTGAGGTGCCTGGCTTCTATGCAGCGAAGTCGGAGGCAGATCATATTGCTGTGCACGAACTAATTCTGCAGCTGCCGATTTTATCCCACAATACTACCACGCGACATCTTTTTTTTTTCATGTAACCGATTCACTGCTTGTATAATGAATTGCATGCGTACGCCGTTCGGCATCAGCGGATATTCGCGATCATTTTGTGTTCACATAAGCTTTAGTGGGCAAGGGGAACAGTTTTGTTTATTCTGAATTTTACACGGTCACCAACGTCCTGAAATGTTCAATTACACATGAGTAAGAGCCGACGCGCCTTAATGCCAATGAGTTACCGCAATGGTGAGTGACTGTTCTCAATGCTCCCAGTGAAAAGCGTGAATTGCTTGTACCTTGACTTTTCATTTTGAGGTCACAAGTTCACGCAAAGCGGCAGCGGCGTAACGGACAGTTTTGCTGCAGCCTTCTTCGTCGTCACGACCAGGTGACATCTGGTAAAAGTGCTGGTTCCTTCATGTTCCGTGCTCTGACAGAATGCGTCTAGCAAGGCCCACAGCCTGAAGATGAAATCATCACAGTAAAAAAACTGGCTGTAGCTTAACATAGTTATGCCTCAGTGTGCATAGTGAGAGGCATGAATAGCCTGATTGCTCAGCTAGGTGCTGTGTACGGTTACACTTCTCGAAGCTTGCAGATTGCTCTTCCTCCATTTCCTCAGCTCACTGCCCCCTTTTGGTTTTCTGCGATGACGAAATATGGCTCCCCTCAGCCTTTATGACTAACTTTTGTACCTGCTGATTACTTGCACTAAGTCGCACCATCTATATATACGATTTAACACCAGCTCTTCCTCAGTTGTTGCAACGCCGTTTCAGCGGCTCTTCCTCAGACGTCATGTTAGATGACACAAGGAAAGCAGCGCTGCCAGCTGCTCTGCTTGCTAGGTATTGGCTCTCGAAGGCGTGGCCACCGGCTACAGCAAAACAACGAGAGTACAGCCAGTGTAGTCCTCGCTACAAAAATGACAGGCCTGAGTGGAACTTCCTGCACAGTTGCAGTGACAGCAAAAAAGCGGACATGTTAGAACGTTTGATAAACCTCTCTTCGGGCATCTAATATAGATAAACTCGCATGACACCAGGTCGGCTATGAATAATCATAACTTTTCTGTTGCAGAGAAACATTCACAGTGTCATAATTCATCCGCCTGCGAAGAAACGTGGAATCTACTGCACACATGTTAGGCACTGTGTGCACAATTCTGAAGCGATGGCTGCTAATGATGAATCATTATCACTGAGCCTTTTCGATCATGTTTGAAGCATTCAGCGACCCACTCGTTACGCTATTAGCATTACGTAAGATGTCGTGCTCTTTTACTCTTGTACAATGTACAAGAGTGAAATGTATATTACCCACGTCAACAAGAATGCTTCGCCGACATGAAGCCTGTATAGGGTTTGTTTGCAAATCGGTTCAAAGCACCACTGAGGCTCCATGGCAGAATACTCGGCTGTCGTGTTGAGAGCCCGTGTTACAATTCCATTTTACTCATGATCGAGCTTGTACTTTTCTCTTGTTTACTGCAATAAATGTTGCGGGCACGGGCAGCGTTGCTTAGGGTGGTCAATATCACTGAGGCTATTGTGAAGATACTTGGGATGCTCACGGAATCATACAGATGCCCCTGGGTGTGGGCGTTTAATTCCGAATTTCACTCTTTGGGCACTAACGACTAGCGCAAGACGACCACAGCGATCGTTAGAAAAAGCAACGCAAAAAGCAGCAAAAAAAAACGTTAAGCAAATATTCTTAATACGTTGACAAAATATGGACCAATAAAAGTGCATTGAGTGCACTGCTCAATGCTCAACCGTTATTGGCAAAGCCGTCCTGTGAAGGTGCCCACAGTGGTCCATCGTAGCCAGGAAAAACAGAATACTGCCAAAGTCATTCTGTAAGGGCGGTGAAATAAAGCCAGCCATCGGCAGCTAACATACAATATTTGCATCACTATCCCTTAAGAACGGTAACTATAGAATGTCATTTACAGCCAAGATAAAATACTCGCACGTCTATTACACGGATGCAATTATTACGATTGCTGAAATTTTCCAGGCTATGCGAGCATTTACTTGGTATCTTTTTGTTCATACCTGAATCCAGCCGTAGGCTACAGGTCCGAAAGTTGTTTGTTGTCTCTACCTGTGATATGCAATCAACATTCGGTTTAAAATAAGAAAATCACTCTAGTGTTCGAGCTGTGCAATTTACTTTTCGACCTCGTATTCGGGCCTTTCATGTGAGTGCTAGTGAGGTAGCACCTTGAACGATGGTGTGGGACGCGTGCACCACACCTGTCCTGCAGCTTTGGCACTGCAATGCACACAAAGATCTCAGAGCTTCCTTACGCGCCCATATTGGTCCAGCTAGCGTTCTTTCCGCTGAATTATAGATAGTCGTGTCCCGTCTATCTTGAAGGCAAATGCGTATATGGTTCATTACAACGTGAAAATCGACTGTCGTGGTCAACAGGATATAAAATTTATCACCCCGTGAGTAAACTACCGTATAACGTCATGAGAGCATCACTGCGACGTCACACGATGAAGACAGATAATGGCACATTCTGTCACACATCTCACATTAGGATGACGTGACACGATGATGACTAGATTAGAATTACGTCACTTGATGGCGTAACATGCCATTGTCGCTTGGTGAAAGTAACAGCGATCATGGAAGCACCGCGGCACCAAGAGGGGAGGCTAAATCTTTTGATGTTTTCGGTTCAAGAGGCATTGTGAAATGGTGTCAGGGAATAAGAGCTTTCCGTTAGGTGGAAGCACGAGTTCATGGATGCAGACAAAAACAAGATGGCTTTTGCCATCGAGTCGTCTCAGACAACAGCGGAATAAACCCTGTGAGTATCTTTTTCTGGTGAACTATTTAGCTTCCGATCGGTTTGATACATACTGTTTTATAATATATTTATCATTGCTGCATTATCACCATTTTAAACCTACAGGATGTGGTATTGGATTCTTTGGTGTGGAAGGTTTTGTGGAAGTTATTTTTAGGTAGTTGTCAATTTCTGTTTCTTAACCCTTCCGTTAACTTGAGGTTTCCGCTAAAGTGATTTACAAAAATATGTGTTCATGTGCTTACAGTCGTCTATGAATTCGCCTTCGCGCTCTCAATTACCGGCTCCCTGGTGAGATTGATTAGTAGAGTGATGACGCCAGAAAGGCGTTCTTAGATGCTTTGGTCTCAAGCAAGAATACATTTTCCGGAAATTAAGAAGCTTTCTTGCTGAGAAATCTCTATCGACTTCCTTGTGGCATTGTGATGGATAAAGGTGACTTTTAATTATCACTTTCAAAATTTTTCCGCCATCATACAGGCTTTCACATAACTGATTTGCTACGCCTTTTGTTTTTGTATGGAAGTCTGTTTTATAGAAAGGAAGTCACTTTACGCTCAATGCATTGTTTTCAGATAGACTTGTCGATATTTAGATCATTTAACTTTTGTGACAAAGATATGACACGCTGTATTTTTTACTTTAGAACGTATCACACAAATGGATGAGAAAATTTTGCTAGAGCGCTTCATAGCCTAAATAAGCAAGCAAGACAACCAGTTGTACAACGGTTTTGAGGACGTATCACCCAAAAGGTTGAGAAAGCTTTACTAGAGTGCTTTATGGCTTAAAGAAAGCAAGAAAGGCAACCAGTTGTGCAACGACTTAGGTGTAGGGAGATCTTCTGAGACATTTACCGTCCAGGCCCCTTTACTTGCTGCTGCAACTGCTGCACAGGGTATGTATTGTTGTTTTTAGATTGCAACGGGAAGTCTCTTGCATCTGGATCTGCAGTTAAGAGAGAAAGAAGTTCACGTGTTAGCAGGTCATAAAGCTGGGAGTAAGTACCTGCATTACAATGGCGGAACTCTAGTGAAAATACATTGTCAACTAAATTCTTCAAAATTCCAGGCATCTATCTACTTTAACGATCTATGTTCATGACTTGCTTTTTTTATTATTTCGATTCTCCTTTAAGTAAAGGACGAAATTACCTGTGAGCTCTGTTTCTTTATGACAGACGATAAACGACAATGGCGAGAGGCCTACATGCATTGGACTGGGATGCTTATCCGGACTTTTTTTTTCAACTACGCCATATTATCAAATATCGCAATGTCAGCTTTTTGGGTAATTCAGAGAGCCAGTAGCAGCCTACTGGTTCAATCAAGCTTCACCAAAGGTTAATTTTAAAGCATAGCGTAATTTTACAATGCCCAGAACAGCCCCCAAGTGAAAGTCTACGCGAAAATTGCCCAGTTTTTTTTTCACTACTCATCATATGATGCTACCTCTTGGAGGACACAATGAGCGTGGGTTGAGCGACCAAATTTCATTGGGGTGAGACATTTAAAATGGGTTTTGCGGGCGAAGTCGGCCTCATTGAGTGGAAGCAAGTCGAATGAAGGTAAAATACCACTTTCGCAATATTTCTGAGTAAGGCCGGCCGAACAATAGAGCCAAATTTGCAGTTACAAAGCTTCCGCTGTTCATAAAATTGTTAGAAAGTGGCATCTATAGCTGCCTCCTGTCATATTTCGTATACTATATCGATACTGTTTGTCATAATTAGCTTTGTAGCACTCTCGTGGGAATATAGCGGGAAGGTGGGTTATTCGTTGAGTCTTTTACGTGAGGAAGTGCATCTCGGCAGGACAACTCTTGTGTTCTTCAGAAGGTTTATATTAATCTTCTCTGTAGTATGGTCTGACGCATAGATAATGAAAAGCCATCCTATCTAATAGCTTCATGTTGAACAAGTTGTGAAAGATAATACAGTGTCTATTTTTTTTCTATATTTCAAATAGGCATACTTTCGAGCAATTTATTTGAGTCATTTGTCTGCTTCATCAGACCATCAGACGGTGAGATTAATTGAATTGAAATGAATTGAATTTCATTGACATAAAAATATTGTACAGTATACAACAGTGTAAAAAATGCATCTGAATCCCTAGCCAAAGGCTAGTTGGGATTCATTCAAAAAAGTAATTTAGAAAAGGGCATGTCATTTACACACAAAAGAAAGTTTACAAATGCAAGTTTTTTACACCTGGAAAACTGAACATAACGTAATGAATTTACAGTGCTTGGCGAATGATCATGATCATGGATGCAGGCAGAAAAAAAGAACAAAAGAAAAGTATGTAAGGCATTGTTTGAGAACATATCGAAATTCACAACGAATAATTGAGTGCATTGTGATATATGAAAACTAATTATGACATATGTATCTGTATTGCATAACAATACTGATTAAGGACTGAAAGAAAATAGATTCTAATGCATACATACATATTATATAATTGCAGATAGGCGTGTATGTAAGTATTGTAATAGTGTGCTACATAACTTTTTTGAAGATGTATTTAATATAACTATTTCTAGCATTGTATTATTGGGCGTCTATATTTTATTTAATAAATATTTTTTAAGTGCAAGAGAGAAATTGTTAGTCTGTTTTATTTCTTGTGGTAGGTTATTCCACACGAAGACTCCATTTCTTTTACCGTATACGTTCTTTGTTTGCTGAGTCAAGTATTTTCCTTTTACTTTGTTACGGCTTTCATAATCGGAACATGAAAATTTGCTGAGGAAACTGGATAGTTAGTGTTTATACTTGAATGGAGCATGATAGCTGTTTTATAATCTATTAGTGTTGAACACTATTAGTGTTGTCGTTAGTTGAACGGCATGATGTTTAGATTTTGAAAGAGTGGTAGTGTGTGTGCCATATAGTCTGAATTTGTTATAAATCGTACTGCTCTTTTCTGAAGTTTTATTATCTGTTCTAGGTACGTGCGGTATGTGTGACTCCAGGTGACAACACAGTAGTTTAAATGACTACGGAATATGCTAAAGTAAACTACACGTAAAGTCGGTAAATCAAAAAGGTTTCGACATTTATATAGAAGAAAACAAGCTTTACTCAATTTTTTGCAGACTTCGGCAATGTGAGGTTTCCAGTTAAAATTTCCATCAAGGGTAACGCCTAGGTATTTTTTCGTATGTACTCTTTGCAGCACTGAAATATTTATTGTGAGTGTGTATGTGTGTTCCTCAAAGGTTTTGCGTGGTGAAGTAAAAACAATGTACTTGGTTTTCTGTATATTTAATCTTAGTCCATTTGAAGAGAACCACTGGTGGATATCAACAAGCTCTGAGTTCGCAGATGCTATGGTTTGGTTTAAAGAATCTTGAGCGCATATAAGAGCTATATCATCAGCATACACAAATATGGAGAAGTTTTGTACCACGCAAGGCAAGTCGTTAATAAACAGCGAGAAAAATATTGGTTCAAGAACAGAACCTTGGGGTACTCCTATAGTTGTATTAAGAAACTCTGATTGGGTGTTGGCTAATTGCACTGTTTGTTTACGGTTTTCCAGATAGCTTTTAAAGAACTCAAGACACATTCCGCGTAAGCCATAGAATTCTAGTTTAATTATTAATATGTTGTGATTGACAGTATCAAAGGCTTTTTTTAATATCTAGAAATATACCCACCACTGTTCTGCTATTATCTAGGTGAAAATTGATAAGTTCGGAAAGTGCCAAAACAGCTGTGTCGGTTGACCTGCCCTTTCTAAACCCATGTTGACAGGTTGTAAGAATACTTTCGTGTTCTAGGAAAGACATAATTCGTTTAACTATTAATATTTCAAACACAATAGTTATGATACTTAAAATGGAAATAGGACGGTGTTTTCTGCTATGTTTTTGTCACCTGGCTTGTAAATCGGGATAACCTTGGACACTTTAAAAAGTTCGGGGTAGGTTGACGCATAAAATGATAAATTAAAGATTTTCTCTAGAGGCACACAAGGGATGTAAATGCATTCCTTTAGCGCTAAAGAAGGTATATTATCGCATCCGACTGAGAATTTAACTGGCATACCACAAACTACAGATACAATTTCACTAGCCGTTATATCAGTAAACTTAAATGTGTTGGGGTTACGAGGAGGGTATTTAATGTATTCATCGCAGAACTGAAGGTGCAAAAGTAGGTGTTAAACGTTAAAACTAGGGTATTCAATGATATTCCCAGAACCTCAATGTCTGGCATTGTGATGTAGCTTGCAGATGGTTTAAGAACCGAGTTTATATTACGCCATGTTGTTCGTGAATCACCTGAATTTTTCGTTATCAAGGTCGTGTAATATTCTTTTTTTCTTTTTCGAATCATCGCTGTTACATTATTACGGGCAACTCTAAATTGCTGTAAGTAATAATCATTGTTCCCATTCATTTTTACCTTTGAATGCCAAAAATCTTTCTTTTTTGTTTGTTCTAAAATGGGCCGATTCATCCATGGGCAAATTGGTGTTCTATAATACTTTTTGTCCTTAGCAGTTGTTGATTGCATTAAGGCCTCTCTTAAGCATTTGCTTAGCTTTGAATAGGAAGCATTCACGTCTGGAGTGGATACTTCGTACGACAGCAAAGAATCTGATGAATAAATGCATTCAGTGTTTTGTAGGCATGCACGAAGGGCTGGAAAAGAAATACGACTATGGGTGTCGCGTGATTTATTGCGGGTAACCTGTGTGACTGGGAATAATATAGTCGTAGGGGAGTGATCACTTATAGTTGCGTCATAAGTAGCACACCAAGCTTCTCCAGTGTCAAATTTGCACAAAATGTGGTCAATACAAGACGATGATTTTGGTGTGACACGTGTGGGTGAAAATATAACGTTATGAAACCCGCATGGCGATAACATGTTATAATACTCTGAATGGCAGTCCTTTAGGCTATCTATGGTGAAGTCACCGCATATAACTGTTTTTCGCTGGAGCAAATTTACGTGTTGTAGTGTCCTTTCAAAATGTTGCATGAAGTCTGATAATTTTTCCTTAGGGGCGCGATAAACCACTATGATTATTTCATATGGACATCTAGCAACAATTATTTCAAGCTCAGATGAGTATGATTTTGAGTAATTAGCAAGAACACTGCAAGGTATACCAGATTTTACAAATAAGGCTACACCACCACCTCTATGGGGGGCGTGTCGCGCAGTGGAAAAGAAATTGTAACCAGGTATGCTGTAAGTTTCACTCTGTTTTAGCCAAGTTTCGGAAACAGCTATGTAATCAAAATCAAAAGTGTGCAATGAAAGTAAAGTACAGAAATGATCCATGTTTTTCTGCATGCTACGTATATTACAATGGATGAGGCTATAGCAAGAATTCACCTCTGCAAAGAGCCTTGCAGATTGTATCTCAACCTCCATTTCAGACAAGCTTTTTTTTTAATTCAAATTATTAGAGAAATATCGTTTTCACAGCGGATATGAATGACATTAGAGTTTTCAGCTTTTCTTGCTAGAAATTTTTCATTGGAAAACCAAACAAACTTCCAATTTTTTTCACGCTTCCTCAATATAGCCTTTCCCAATAGAACCTTATTCTCTGCACACAGATGTTCATTTACATATACAGGTCCATCACCTTCATAACCAAATCTACTGGGGTAATTCTCTTCTTTTTCACCGCTTGAAGGATTCGGTTGCGGGTTGAGCATGACCGACATCTCACGACCACATTTAGTTTTGTTTTGTCTTTTGAGGGCACTCGATGAACCACGTCAAGTTCCTTCGAAGTTATCGGTACTGCAAATCTTTCAGCAAATGTTATTATGCTACTAGCCTATGGAGTGGCAGAACAGAACGACTGAGCTTAAAGATAGTATTCCAACTCAAAGATATTGGCCACAACGTTCCTGCCGCGACCACTGATGATGGAACGAGAAATCAAATGCCTGCTCGGACTGAGACCTACCTC